GGGGACTTCCCCCCCCCCCCCCCGGTTGGTGTTAGGTGAGGCAGGTAGCGGCCGCTGTTGGGCTGAGGGCTGCTGAATGCAAGCAGTGAAAACCGGGTCCTGGAGTCTTGGATATGCAGGACGTGCCAGGCGCAGCTGGTCTCCTGGCCCTCTTCACCCATGTTCTTCTGGTCTGTGTGGCTAGCATGGGAGCGATGACTTCTTGCACAGATATTTATGTTCCCTCTTTCCCCCTGTTAGCCCAGGTGGCCTTCATAAATCACAAGAAGGGAGTAAATTCAGATCCTTTTTTCCCAAAGTCCCTTTTGCTGTTGAGATATCAGGCTGAGGGGAATGGCCGGCAACCTCCCTATGATTGCAGCTACCACAAATTGCCATTTTCCCTCCTTTACTTCTCGTGAGAAGAGCGAGGAAGGGAGAAGCTCTTTGCCCATCCCCAGGGTGCTCTCTTTCCATCAGATTTCAGTTCACAAGTTGGACTTTCTCTTCCAATATTGCATGACAGGCTCAGTCTTAGGAACCAGAACACTACAGCTCACGTCAAAGCTTGTTGATCCCCCTGTATTTACAAGATAAGCAACCACCTTCTGTTTGCCTTTGCTGCATTGATATGTGCTTGGCAACAGTGACTTGCTTATCTCCTGTGACATGTCGGTTGGCCTGCTAGGAGCATGTTTTAGGAAGGTGCACTGAAGAAAAGTGACTCTTCTGTTTCTTTAATTTTTTAAACTTCAAGTTAAAAATCACCTTTGGGGTTTTTTTTCTTCTGTGAATTTAGCTGTATTACAAGCAACTCCTGTTTCATTCTGTTCTTTCGCGTAGTTCACACTGATACTTCAGTCTTTTTTTCTGTTTCTCATGCACTGTTATATTTATTAGCAGTGTAGATACTACTCAGCAATGTTTTGAGTTCCCAGTGACTTACCTAAGAAGAAAGGGAGGCCCCTAAGCAGGCCTGAAGGGCTTAATAGCCTGGCTCATCTGAATTCCTGTGGTCAGATGCAGTCTCATATTTTGTGTTCTATTTTCGTGCCTGTTGGCTAACAAGCGGATCATTGGCTTGTGTGTGCTCACGGTCTTTCAAAGGTCACTTTTTCCCTCCGCTTATGAAGGAATGCTTGCAACATTGGGAACTGGAGGTTATTGTTCGCGTGCCAACAGCCTCTTTTCCAGGATTACTTGAACTGTGGACTGGAGTGACGAGAAATCTCCCTACAGAGGGAAAACAGCTCTCAGTTGCAGCAAGGAGTTGCTATTACAGAGTTCTGCATATTAAATGCCAGTATGATGAAATTTGATGCTCCTTTGGCTTATGGCTCTACAGTGGAATCCAATTCCTGCTGAGACCTAAACACTAGTCTATTCAAAAAATAACAATTAATAGCCTTGTTTATGAAGCCATTCAAGAACTAAAATGCTGCTTACAAAGCATGGTCTATTTGATCAACTGAAAAGTCTAAAGTTTTGCTTAGCAACAGGGTTTATTAATAGCAAGAAATGCGACCAGTAGAAGGATAAGTAGTGCACCAGTTCTGAATCTTTGCATT